GATTTATTGTATTCTTCCAGATTTGTCAACATAACAATGATCTCTAAATGTTGCTCCCAAATCATACGCCAAAAATCGCTTATTGTGCTCTCCATGGGACCTTGAGCGCAGATAAATTTCTTCCTTTCCTTATATCCAATTACAAAATTGGCATTTATATAATCTGTACTTTGATTTCCATTGATTGGCGAGAGCTTAACTCTAGTTTGATCGTAAGCTTTAATATCCGGATATCTGTTCTTGCACGCATTTTCTTTCATGTCGCTATTCTTTGTCGTTCGATCAGTAAAGCGATTAGGTAACATTTCATATTCCCGTAAGAAACCATAATCCGTATCCTTATGCCGATTTTTATAGGCACTAACTAAATCGGTTTTATGTATAGGTCCAGTATCGAAGCCTTTCTGATTACCAGAGCCTATGAACTGGCTATGATTGTTGATTCGACGTCTAAAAAGAGTTCTGAAATTATAATTTACAAATTGTGAATTCAAACAAATTATAATTCAGGCAAATCAACGGAAAATACCTTAAGGAATCTCTTAAAGTTAATGTATCTTCGTCTGGCATTGCGTTCTTTGTCTTCTGATGATGAACAATCCAAAATATAATGAAAATAACAATCAAGCCCAATGAAATAGCTGCGGCTTTAATGCCTATATTCAAATAAAACTTTGAATCATCCAAGGAATGTATTTGTTCTGCTTCAGTCGCAGGTGTCATTACATCAAAGTAATCACTGTAAGCCATAAGAACCGTACTTCCAGATCGAACTACAACAAAGATATATGTTTTTTAAATTTTCTTATTTTGCGAATACTTGTGACAAGTACCTATAATCTCCAGGAAGCCAGTGTAATTGGAATTTATGTCTATTTCGCCATCAAATATATCTCCAATGTTGTTTGGATTACTATTGTTCGTATCCTCCTTTTCAATGCCAACTGTGGGATTTCGTCGTATCCTCATTCTACTTCCTAAAACTTGTATGGCCTGTTCTGTTAAATTTCCGCCTTTAATTAATTGTTCTTTTTGAGTCTCAGCTGGAGTTGGAGCAGAATCTAAAACGAAATAGTGATAGTAACAAATGCGAATTATCTATCTAATATACAATGAACCATTTATCCATAGTCCATATGGATTACAGATAAAACTCAAGTTTCGATCTTACCTATTTTCAAGGCACTTTCCTGCTTTCTTAAAAATGGTGCACCATCTAAGCATTTGCGACAGATATTATCATTGTCAGCAAGATCCTCCGGCTTATTAAGGAAACGCATTTCGTCTCCCAAAAATATTTCCGATCTAAAGTATCGATTGCTAAGCATTTCAGCTATATATGCATAATTATTAGTCTTATTATTATTATTGTGTACTTCATTGTATGTGGCCACGCTTAGTTTATCGGGAGCAGGTAGTTCGCTATTGCCATTAGTTATTTTGACTAGATAGAGCCGATAGCAGCAGATAGGTCCATTCCTCTCGCTCACTTTCGGTATATATAATTTTAGCACATATTTCGGACCATTCTTAACCTTAGTCCACATCGTTTTGCCAATGGTTTCGGGCGTGGAAATTGGCATAAAGCAATTCACAACGGCAGCTTCACCATTTTTCTTATGTCTCGTGATTGCGGAGACTGTTGCAGTATAATTAGTATTTGGACTAACGCCTTCGTAGATCGTTTTATGGCTGGGCTCATCGACTCTCCGGATTTTGGGGCCCCATTTCTTCGTTAACATTTCGCCCTCTTGATTATAGTAAGTGTAATTTCCCTCGAGGATAATCAAGTATGAAATGATCTTTCCATTCGGAGTTTGGGGTACGTTCCAGCTAAGAGAGATCGAATCCAGCCCGGAAATGTTCTTATTATGGCAATGTATTTTTAAATTAGTTGGTTTCGTTGCAACACCATCCATGGTTGTGCCATTCACTTTCTCTGACCATGGTCCGCAGGTTTTAGTCAGATCGCTACAGGCCCGCACTTGAAACTCGTAGTCCGTGGCCGTCTTCAGTTTATCAAACATATATGGTAAGTTTCTTGAGTTCTGTTGATGAAAAGCTTTCTCAATCAGTTTCGGCACCTCACCCGCTTCGGAGACAGTCAATTCATAGTACTGAATATATTCAATAAGTTCTTGAGAAGGCGGGCTCCAGCCTATGGTAATTGTCGAAGCTGTGCTGCCAGTTGTTTCAACCTTTGGTACAAAAGTTGGATCATGATCCAAGGTAGTCACGGCAAACGGATACTGATTGGGTGTCCCATCGCCAATCGAGTTCTTTCCTGTTATGCGCAGATGATAGGTTGTATTTGGACTGAATGAATCCAAGACATATGATGTATAGTTGCCATTGATAATATCCTTGTAATACTTGTATGTGGGCGAACCTTCTTGCGAAATCTGAATAAAATACTTTTGAATGGGATCATTGCCATCATTCACCGTCCAATTCAAGTATATTTTGCTAGCGCCAACCGCTTTTACATAATCAATGCTGATCTGGGGCACCTCCATGACAAGCAACGTTATTTCCTTCGAAAGGATCTCAGCCTCAGTGTCGCTGTGTAGAACACACTTATATGTTCCATTCTCCTTCTTATATACCTCTGTAAATTCCAGCGTAAAGTTCAGTTGTGTATCGCTCAACTTGTGTATCGAGGCAGAGGCATCTAGGAACGCAACAGGGCTTCCATCCTTGAGCCATTTGAGGTGTTTGTTAGTCGTGACATTCTGAGGATATATCTCAAATACACAATATATAATGGCACTTTGCTTAATCTTTCGTTTTATGCTCTCGACGGTGCTTTCAATGATTCTTGGTTGAAGGAATGGCTGCAGGCTGTAAACCACGGAAGTGTTTGTCACAGCATCTTTGCATGTATAATTCCCACTGTCCGATATATTTACATTACGTATGTAAAGTATATTCTTATACTTTTTTACATCATTATTTAAGTTCGTATCGGCATCTTGTTCGGGAATTATTATATTCTCAGTTATTGTAAATCTGTAAAGAATAATTAAAAAGTATTTCAATCAAGATATTGAACAGTTCTGAAACACACATATCAGTGGTATATGGAAACAACAGGCTTAAAACAGACTACACATTTCGAATGTTTTTGGCGTGCTGAATCTTAATCAGAAACTAGAATAGTTTTCGAGATAATCTTTAGACAGTTAATATTTTGAAAGAGCCAATAAGATATCAACAGGACAACAGCTCCCATTCAGACAAGTCTTATTACAAAATAAAATAATTCTTCATTTATCATCGAAACATCTGCTCTAGTTAACAATTCGGATTCGTTGCATCAAAAATCAATATATATAGTCTGTTGGCTTGTGATATTTATTTGCTGCAATAAGACTGCGTGAACGTACCTTGTATCAAATTTATAGTTGGTTTCATTATTAAATATCCAAATCGCCGGATTGTGGTCAGTCGCACATTCAAAAGAAGAATTTCTTCCAACTTCAACCCATTCTAAAAAGATAAAAAGTAAGAATATTAATGTTACAAACAATTATGAACAATTAAAGATCTGAGTTCAAATGCCAGGCCAGTGGCAAGCGAAGATTTTAGTCGCTAATTCATGACTTCATAGCAATAAATGTACAATCTATCTGACACTCCCATATGCTACAACAAATCAAAAATAACAACAAAAAAAATCTTCTGATTAACGATAAATACAATTTGTTGGGCACCTGAAATTCATGTTATCTGCGCTGGGGCTCTGTCTGCAATCAAATTCAACAATTTTTAGCTTGATTAGGGCGAATTACTCATAGCCAACATAAATATTTTCTGGTCTTCACGAGAAAAAAAGTGGTACAATAAATCATATGTATATACTTTATAACATTTTTTATTACCTATCTACTAGTTGAGCCTACCCTTAAAAATGTGTAAAAGAAAAAATTCTTTGTCTGGAATGCTGCTGTCGAAAGAATTTCAGTCAATAAAAAAATAAATAAAAAACATATCGGTGTCTAAAGAAGATACAATTTGTATTATCAAGAGGTTGATTGTTGTTAACAATCGCATTTATTTACATATATTTAACATTTTGAGCGTTTTGCAAGCGGCATATACACATACACACACGCACACACACACCTACATGTATACGCAAAAAAGTATGTATGTATATATAAAGGTGTATAAACTTGTATACAGGCATTTGTGTGTAGAGTATTCAAAAACAAAACACAAACGTATTATAGAAAAAACCCCATAAGCTGACAGATTGAATAGTTATGTATTTATGTCAACAGTAAATTTATTACTAGTTTTCACTTTTACCTGTGTTATTTCCTTGGGCAAATAAGGTAGTAAATAAGAAAAGTATAAGTATCACATAAGCATCTATTCGGTGTACGTAAAAACACGCCATCGCCTTCTAACTATGCGGGTTCTTCTGAGTATTTCAAAGGGCACAAAGTCGTCCCTCTTCTTAAATATCAAATTCACTTTAGTACACTTTTATAGCCACATAATTACAAAATTATTTATGCTGCTAGTTTAGTTAATACTGGCTGGATTCTTTTTGGCAAAGGCGATATAGTGTTGCAAAACAGTGGAAAAAAAGTGTTCTAAGATGTTATCTATCACACCCTACAACCAAGAACAGATATTTGCGATGTTGGAACGTGAGCGAAAGTATCGAAACAATCAAATTAATATGAGCTCATTTCAATACTTTTATATCATTTTTATCGTTATCTATTTTATCTTTGATTTTCTATTATGTTTTTAATACTCTTAAGATTATTCTGACGATTATCTTAATAATTATAAATTCACAATTTACCAAAGTTAATTTGACGCTATCTTGACAACGCAGAGTTGCAGTTTAATATCGATATAAGTAGATGCGGCTTTAATATTTTACTCTTTTTATTGCCGGCGCAGCTCAGTTTGTATATATTTTATATTTGGCAAATATTTCTGTCAATTTTTATATAAAACAATCACTAATAAAATACGCGTGCATTAAAAAATAAATATTTGAAACATGAAATTGGTGAGGTATGAGAATCATATGAAGTATAAACAGCGTTGCTATATGAACATACGTATAAATTATGTGCATGTGTGATTGCAAACTAGCGTGTGCAGTTAAACGTTTGTTTGTATGTAAAAGCATAGTATGATTAAAAAAAAAAAACAAAACGTATAGCAACATTTCTCACATTAATAAGTATGCTTATGCTAAGATGCAGCCGAAGTGTTGGCCGCAGTTAACAATTACGAGAGAACTCGAGTAAATGTGTATATGTGTGTATGTTTGCATGTAAGACTTATGTCTATGAATATTTTGAGCGCCAAATTTGAAGATTTGAAAAGGACACAATATGAAAAATCGTCTGTACACTACGTTCAATCAAGTTTTTTATTATTTGTTATTTTCAATTAAATAATATATAATTGTTTTTATATTTTCTAGATTTCTGATGAAGCTTAGTCATGAGACTGTAACAGTTGAATTAAAAAATGGTACTCAAATTCATGGAACAATTACTGGAGTTGATGTGGCCATGAATACCCACCTGAAGAGCGTTAAAATGACCATCAAGAATAGAGATCCAGTCCACTTGGAGTCCTTGAGCATTCGTGGCAACAATATTCGATATTTTATATTACCAGACAGTCTGCCGTTGGAAACATTGCTAATCGATGATACTCCAAAGTCAAAGTCCAAGAAAAAAGACAGCGGGCGTGTTGGAAACCGCGGACGAGGCAGAGGCAGCCGCGGGCGCGGAGGTCCAAGAGGACGTGGACGAGGCAGGGCTCCTGCTAGACGTTAAGTATATAGTTCAGAAAAAAAAAAAACAAAACTTATGTATGAATAACAATTACAACTGCCCGGTACAAATAAAATTTGGGCAACTTTTGAAAAATATAAATAAAATTCGATAATTATGATATATTGTGTTTGCCCAACAAAGCCAAACTTTTGTATCAAAATAAATCTTACATTCTACCATGAATGATTATTGTTTTTCTACATTATTATGTATTTATCTTTATTTCTACATAATTATGTATTTATATTTGAAAAATTAGAATAGAATTGGATGCCGTGCACAAAATATCCCTTAACAGACAATTAATACATATTATCGAAAAGTGGCGCACGAATATTATACAATCCACAAGCACATTTTCTATGCGATAGTTTTTGCGGTTAAATATTTTTACGCTTGCAATTTATGGTCACACTGTCTCTCAGTCAGAGTTCTTGTTTTTGTTCAACATTTTAAGTTTTCGTGTTTGCTGTTGAATTTGGGTATTATGCCACCCCCAAGACCAAAGGGGATAGGATTTACAACAGGGGTCACACCAGCCAGACCCAGTTCAAATACCCCCATGTCGGAAAGACAACAAATTACTTTGTTAATCCAAATGACAGCAACGTCCTCAACAGGTAAGCCAAAACATACAAATCTATGTGTTTATATGTACGCCGCTCTATATGTACCTCTGTACGTGTGTAATTGCGTATAGGTACATACATACTTTACAATAGCGTATACATACAACAATTCTTTGAAGTAACACGCAGCTACCAAATATGTGGGCTTAAATTGCAGTTAAAACTAAGAAATAAATACTTTTAAGTGCAATAACATTCTGAACTGTGTGCGTGTGCGTGTGTGTGGTTAGCATAAATTTCGAGTATGATCTCATTTTTCTTTTATTAGTCCCACGGACTTTACTGTTACATGAGTGCTGCCGTATATAACGCCCAATTGAGCTGTTTTGTGTCATTCCTAATGTACCATTCTTATTTTTCTTTGCATACGAACATGTGCATTTACAAATGTACATACAAACGTTAATTGTGTGCCGTCTCATATATGAAAGTGTATATGTATGTGTACATATATACGTATGTATAATTGTATATGCCTTTGAAAGCTGTATAACGAAAAGGTCCTTCATATAGTAATTAGGGTGGGGTTATTTTATATCCTTAGGAAAACTATTTTGTCACGAAATGTGAAAAGCGCAGAAGGAAAGCGTCCCGGCTCTGAAATATATATAAATATACCCTACAGTCGTGTCCATTTAAGTGTGTTTGTCTGTTTAAATAAATGCTAATTAAATTTGTATTTTGTTCTCTTTCTTTCTTAAATTCAGAGACATCGCGCACGCATTCAAAGAAAAATGATAAAAAAGGTGATGCAGATGTTGAAGAAGTCAATGCTACGGATAAGCAGTTAGAAATTGTCAATGAAACCAAGGAGAAGCCAGCAACAGAGGATTCCAATTCAGATGGTAAAAATGCAGAACAAAATATAGCTCAAAGCGTGACAAGCACAAAGCGGAGTTATTCGGATGTTGAGGAAGACTTCGAGGAACATGGCGACGACATAAAAAAGAAGAAACGCAAAGATTTGGATAGTTCGAAAGATATAAAAAATACTTCACTTAAGATATCATCTAAGCTGGAGAAAACCTCAAAGTTGGCGTCCACCAAAAACTCACCCTCAGGTAGTAAAATAAGTACGACAGTTGCTGACAAAGAGCTGGAGGTGAACAAGACTGTGGATATTGAAAATGAAACAGAAGGAAGCGAGGATTATAAGAGCAATGATAGCTCATATAATGGTGCCTTGAAAGTGCCACCATTGAAGATTGTAATACCCCAGCAGAATTGTTCGATTGACACAGATGGTAATGTCCTGCGTACTGGCAAAGTAGCTGCCTCGCGGAATGCGGCGTTGCCCTATGTTGTCAGCTCCAATAGTGATTCGATTGACACGGTGCTATCCAATCAGTGTCTGAGTCCTCATGAGAGTCCACAAAAAGTCAATATCGCCTGCTCGACTATTCTCGATGATAAGAATATCAAGCTGTTTAATGACGAAAAGAATCTAAGGGTCTTACGCAGCTCCTATCGCAGCGGCGTCACAAGCGCCGAACGCAGCTCGAACAACTCCTCCCCGCAAATGCAGAGCAGCTCCCCATCGCCAGCCTCGTCGAATCATGCCAATGACAATGCTGATATCAAAGGTTCATACACGAATATGACAGCGAGTCCCATCCAACATAATCAGTTCGATCATGAGGTTTTACCGAATGTGCCGAGTCCTTCGACATCATCAACGTCATCGTCGAAGGAGATCAACTCATCTTCAAACGTTGAGCTGCATCCGCGTAAGCGAAAAATAAGACCCAAAAATAATGATGATAATTCGAAAAACTCGCATGCTGACAATTCGATGGCCTCTGGAGAATCCCATCCGCATGATTATCCCTTTACGAATGGATTTCAGATGTTCTTGAACATTCGCAGGCAAGTGGAAAAGAAGTGGAGGAATCTGTATCCTGTTAAACCTAGGCCACCTCAGGGCTATAATGATTATCTGCTCACGAAACGTACTTATCTATTAAATAAAAATGTAACGACGCCGATTATCGAAGTGCCAGATGCCATTCCCGAGAACATGAGAGATTTTTATATGCAGCAAGAGAGAGCCAGGCGAGATCTGTCAGACGCGCACACAGTGGAAAGAGAAAAACTCTGTTTAGGCGTAGAGCAGGAGATAATCCGGGTACATTCGAAGGCAGCCAGAAGTATATCTGGCCAAGCTGCTCCTTATTCCGTTTGTACGTTTCTAAAAGACGATGAAATCTATAACATGATTACGCCGGAGCAGGATGAGAAGGAAAAGAGTGCACGGTGTCGTTTCAATGGTCGCTTGCTGCTCAGCTGGCTCCAAGACGTCGACGATAAATGGGAAAAGATAAAGGTGTGCTTAACTAAACAATAATATAAATAAAATAAATGTTAATACTATACCTTTTCATCGTTCGCAGGAATCCATGGTCTTGCGACAGCATAACGAGGCGGAAAGTTTGCATGCAGTTCAAGTTATGGATTGGAATATGTGTTTAAAGCGAAACAAATTGTGTGATTACATTTATGAGCCCAGCATAGATAAGATTCAGGTGCCCATTGTGTACGTGGGTGAAGATTTTGATACGTTGCCAGCATAGAACTGCGATTGGCTTAATTCAATTTGCAATACTTTTTAATATGTACAAAATTATGTATTTTCAAATTTCTGATTGATGAAACTTGTGCCCAGACTTTTCGCTACTTACAAGACAAATGTATAAATAAATAGCACTTGACTAACTTTTTCTAAATATTTTTTATTTTATTATTAATAACAAAATAATATATCTATCCACAGAATATTCACGAGCATTAATAAGACTGCGTTATTACATTGTTTTGTTTGCTTTATCAATAACAATTACTCAATTCATTTTTCATAGAATTTTCATGTTTTTAAAACAGAAACCAGATATTGTTTATTATACATACATACATATATGTATATGTATATTATATATTTATATATACATATATTTGTAATGTTCATTATTTATTTTATTTCGTTGTCATATTTTTTAAAATATTTTGCGAAAAGTTGCTCATCTCCTAAAAGGTGTTAAGAATAGTTTAAAACATTTTAAAAATAATTCGTTTATATTACTTACCTCACAAGTATCCAACAATGCTTTATTATTTATTATTTGCTTAAGTATAATCTCGGCATTTGCATTTTGATCCCGAGTAGAGCTCCATTTGCAGCTCACTGAGAGTGCAGAAAGAGCCCTTAGAGTAGCTTCCAACTTGTCATCATATTCATTCTTATTCTCAAGGTTATTCAGAAGAATGGAGACTGCATTTTGTTTGTTTATGTGGTCTAAAAATGGAGATTTATAAATACAAAATACAACTTTAAATTAAAATTTTCTTACCTCGGATTGAGTTCTCACGAGAAGCTAAAGATCCAATAAGAAAAGCAGCCTTTATATAAACCGATTTATGAGTAGAGTTTAAGCAAGACACCAGGGTTTGAATTCCCTTTGTACTCAAAAACTCCTTCAGGCCAGGCGGAAAGTTTTGTATCAATGATGATATGGCAAAAATGGAGCCTCTAGCCACATCCTCGTCGGCATCGTTCATAGTTGATGTAAGCACAGGAATAATGTGTTCGTTATAAAAATAGTTTTGGCAAAATTCATTGTTCTGAGCCATTTCAGCAACTATATAAATGGATTGTGGTCTCAGATTATTATCCCGAGTGCGAATATACCGCAATAATTCGGCGGCGCCTCCGATTTTTACAAACGAATTTGCTAAATCAATATCATCGATCTTATCTCTTATTAAGTCTAAACTATCAATTTTTTGTTCAATAGTTGTCGAATCAGTTCTTAGAATTAATAAAGCTGTTTCAAAATCATCTCCCGTCATAGCTCTAAGAGCGCTTTGCAAGAAATCTATTCTCTGGAAAGATAATTAATTATTACTCATGTGACTGCTATATATAGATACCACTCGATAAAGCAAATAATGTATTTATTACCTTCTCATCCGTTTGATTGGAATTTGTATTTTGTGCTTCCTCATCTTTTCCAGAATGTTCAACGGCTAATCTAAGCAATGCCTGAAACAAACAAAGGATTAGCTAAGCATTGCTAAACTATTAATGTTATTGGATCGAACCTCTAAATTTTGTTTAGGTTTGGCTGAGCTACGCTTGGAGTTCATATTAATTACTGATTTATAGATTTAGAAAGAATCAAGAAGTTGTAAAAATCAATCGTTTATGTTTATGACTTGGAATCATAATATAAACGTGTGAGGCGGTGTGTTTATTAGAGATGCGTGCGCACCGATATAAACGACTTACCTATCGATAGTTGTCTAAAAATACTGAAATTGCTCTACTAATACAATTATCGATTAATCGGCAGTCAGTATTGTTGAGAATAATCAATTCATATTTAACTGACAATTGCTCATGTTGCCACCTCTGGCAATTAAATGGTATGTAAACAAATTAACAGTATGTTATACTGCTCGTACGCTTAATAGACCTCGATATAAAATGCTTGACGTTGGTGCAGCTGAATCATTATCAATATTTGTTTTGAAAAAGAAATAGATAAGATAGTATCGACACGCCTTGAGTTACGTCAGCATGCAATAGCCAGCATAACCCAATTAAATGTTTTTAAGATTTATATAAACAATATTTATATATTTAATTTGGATCATTAGTACATACAGCATATGTATACATATATCAATCAGAAGTACGTTGCCTCATTGCAGTAACAAAATACAAAAATACAATATATAAATTACAGGAATATTATAACAAAACAATTGTCGTTTGATTTAAAGCCATTTTGGTAGTTTAGTAAATTCCTTATTGACCAGCAATCTGAAAGCAAATAAGCCAGGTTATCAGAGTCGATCAAGATAGTATATGGTTCGCGTTTTACTTACAACAACTAGATGGCCGCTCTTATCACGCACAACGCCGGGTTCAGCGCCTGTCTGCAGCTCTATAATACCACCCTTGCCCTTAACCACATTGTGTTCCAGTCTAAAAGGAAATTCGAAGGGAAGATTAATTAATAAATTCTAGTCGAGATTTCTTTGCCACTTACGAAGCTCTGTCCACGATGGAGACGATATCGGCTGTGCCCACGGTGTCGATGATGAAGGTGCTAAACTCGATGACGTGTGGAATGATTAAGATCAAATCACCCTTGTCCTTCTTCAGCTCCAGTGGTATCCGAATAACCATGAGGTCGTCGTTGTGGTTCGTCAGGGTGAAGTCGATTTTCTCGAGGGGCAGGCGATGCTTCTGCTTGTAGCTCTTGCCGTCCAGCACATAGACAGCCTTATTGCTCAGCAGTATAAAGCGTTCTCGTGATTTGTAGCCGTGTCTATCGAACTTCGTGCAGGCTGATTGATATTTGAGTTGTTCGCTGCCAAAAGTGCTGGCCACGAAGTCATTGACTCGCTGTATATGCTCCTGGGGTATGCGATCGCTCTGGAACCAGGCGGGCACACTACTCGCATAGTTGTTTTTCTTGCCCTTGAACACCTTTTCGGCCAGAACCTTCAGCTCGAATTGGCGCTTGCGCTGCTGTGTTAGCTTCTGGCGATAGATGCGTGCCAGGTGCAAACGGTGCAGGCGATGCAGATAGGTAGATGCCTCCTGGCAGTGGGCAGGCGCTGAGGGCCAGCTCTTGTCGAGCACCTTGGTGGGCAGCTCCTTAGCCAGGCGCAGCAGCCACATGCGCTTGGCATTGGCAATGAAGTCATCGTTGTAGCCATTGGGTGGATCGTTGCGCGTGATGAAGCCCTTGATGAAGGCGCGTATCTTAACCGCCGCCTCGCGACGCTGCTGGGCGGCCTGCTGAGCCAGACGCCGGCGGCAGTAGCTCTGCAGAACAATCACCTGGGCGCGCAGTTTCAAATACTTGCGGCGCTGTTGCAGACCCTTCCAGTGGGCCTGAATGATGGCAGCAATGTCGTGCTTTTTCGCCTGGTACGCGTCTTCCGTGTCGAAGAGCGTGCGCGGCCAGCGTATGAAGAGTTTCGTTTCGCCCAGTTTGAACTGATCACTAGTGTAGCCCAAATCCTGAACAAGCAGCCGGACACCACCCTTCGCACCACCGGCACCCTTGTAGTTCGGCCAGGTGGACTTGCTGAGGCATTTATAGCGTTCTAGGAAGAGCTCATAGCTGCGCCTATAGGCAAAGCCAGCACGGCGCACACGCAGATTCTCCATGAGGCCCAGGTACTTGACTTGATGCAACACCAGCTGATCATCGAAGATGCCTGGCGACTGCAGATCGTTGGGCTTGATGCAACGTATATAGCTGGGCTCCTTGCACATCAATATATCCATAAGATTGTTCAACGAGGACTTGAACTGTGAGATGGCCGTCTCGGGTCGCTTCTTGCTGCTCAGCTCAGACTCTGGGAAGCAGGAGCGGACAATGTTGTTGCCCGACTTGCTCAGCGTTTCCTTGAGATCGCGGAATAGTAAATCGTTGTTCTTGTCCAAGAAACCATTCACGCTGTAGGTCACCTCGCCGGCATAGTGCACCAAGCGGAACTCGTCGCGTCCCATAACCTTTTGCACATGGATCGGTGCCTTCTCGTGGCACACGTAATGATGATGCTCCGCCAGCTTCTGGGTGAGCTTGTCGAGGAAGGTGCGATCGGTGGGCTCACCGGGACGCAAGCACTCCTCATCCAGTATGGAAATAATACCCTTATGCTTCTCCTCAATCAGATTGCAAATGACCTTATTGTCGAAATACTCCACTGGTATCCACTCGATGCCCTCCCTTCTGTACTCATCCTGCTCAGATTTGAGAGTCAGCTCAATGAATAGCTGCTGCAGCTTCTCATTGCAGAAGTTGATGCAAAACTGTTCAAAGTTGTTTGTCTTGAAGATCTCAAAGCCATAGATATCCAATATGCCCATGACATTGTTGCGAGCACCTCGTGTTTCCTTCGCCTGCAACGAAATGTTGAGGCGCTGCACCAGCCAGGAGAACAGACGATCGTAGACGGCTTTACCCAATGCATCCCTAGCATAGATGGCCAGCTCCTGGTTCAAAGGCGAGGTAACCACATCGCCTCGAGCATCAATGGTGCGATGTGTCAGAGCTGCGCCCAATTCGCTGGCATTGACCCCGAGCAGACGGGAGACCGTGACCACCAGATCGCGACTTTTCACCTGGGCATTGCCCTCCTCTTCGTTGAAGCCAATGTTGCCCAGATGCAATATGCTGGCCACAATGGCAAAGATCTCGCGCTGCTCATTCGCACTAAAATCGATTACGCTCAACGCCTGCTGCACCTGCTTAAAGTTGTCCAAATCATTGATGCTGCTCACGCTGCCCTTGGCCTGAGGAAATGAAGACAATTACTGGGAAACTCTCTTGACTGTGATTGTAGTAGCTTACGCCATCAGTCAGATAGTTGTAGCTTTCCAGAGTGCGCTCCAGGTTGAGCTCCTGCAGCAGTGCGGCATCTGCGCCCGCCAGCAGCTGATAGAAGATGTGGAAGTTACGCTCACCGCCCGTTTGGGCCACCACGCGCGACTTCTCCAGCAAATAGTTAAGAATGTTGCCACCGATGGGCGTACCTTTGTAGTCGAACTGAATGTCCATGTACTTGCCGAAGCGGGAGGAGTTGTCGTTGCGGTTCGTCTTGGCATTGCCAAAGGCCTCCAGCACTGGGTTGCTCTTGAGCAGCTTATCCTTGACGCCCTCCACAGTGGTCTGATGGCCAGAGCAGGCGGCAATGTATTGCAGCACCTTCTTGGAGGCCTCCGTCTTGCCGGAGCCACTCTCGCCTGAGATGAGCACGCACTGGCCACGATTCTCGTCGATCAGTGAGCGGAAAGCGTTGTCCGTCACAGCGAATCTAAAGACCGAATCTGGATTAAATTTACTAATCTAATCATAGTTAGGACTTGCTACTAACATGTGGGGTGGCATCTCATAGAAGTGCTTATTCTTATACTCCTTGATGTGGGCTTCTGTGTAGATGGGCAGCTGCTTGTAGGGATTCACAGAGATCAGCACCTGGCCGATGTAGGTCTGTAAAGAAATCCCAAATCTTTAGTGATACAAAAACTTTGGAGCCTATGGACTATGCAAACGTTCTTACACAGATCCAGCATCCGGTCTAAAAATTGAGTGCAATATTTTAGAGCAGTGGATGCGTGGTAAGAGTTACGAAATAGAGATAGAGATAGAGACAGTTACAGATTATAGAGAAGTAGTGTGAGAGAGAGATGGGAAGAGAGGGAGCAAGGAATGACATTGTATACTTAAAACGTACATAGATGAGGTTCTCTTGGAAACGCTTCTTCAGATTGTCAATGAATGCAGTTTCGCTCTCATAGTTCTCGAGCAGCACAAAGTCCTGAACGCCCGCACGGTCGCGTTCGTGCAAACCCGTCTCCATGTTGGGTAAAGGATTATAGCTAGAAGTAGAATAAGTTAAGATCAATTTAAGGTTTCACTGGTGTTTTCGAAGCCTTAAAGGTAAATCTAAAGCTTATAGGTTGGGCAAAGATTACTGCTGAAAATAAAGATCCATATGTGTAGTTGTTAGGAGAGCATTGAAAGGAACTTGGTTAAGGTTTATAGCAGAGCTTAAGATCAAGATGAGCTATTTATATAATGTGTACAGCAAAAAGTTCAGATCAAGATAGTGCTTTTTGATGAGTTGTAATAAAAGTTTATAGCTAGAAGTTGCGATGGAGATCAGTCGAGTTTATAGGAAAGTTTTGGATTGTCTAAGTTCTGTATGTAAATTTCTGGGAAACATTCTCAAGTGCTGCCTGTTAAAGACACACCAAAAACTGTTGTCGCACTTCAAATATTTCTAGCTAAACGACCTGAGGTCTATTTAATCACCTGGTTTTTTAAGGGAGCGATTAAAAAACCTCTTACCCATGAAACCAATCAAACGCTAATTGATAAGATTTCTTGCTTAAAGAATTTATAGCTCTTCAGGTAATAAGTAAAACTAAGCTGAGACTGCTAGCATCTGGCACAAATACTATATGGGGAAATTAAAGGTAAGACCAATTATGTTATTAGTGATATATTTATAGATACATTATTTGATTGATAAAACATAGTATTAAATGGAAAGCGTATCTGGCTTCATTTATATTTATAGAGCTGAAGCAGGCCAGGTGCAGTTCGCATTCTGCTCTTATCAATGCCATATATCATATCACTGGAAATGCCTGGGTTATTGGGTCTACAGTCTATTTGGTCTTGCGACCGAGCGAAGCCAACAAATCTAAGAGCGTCGATTACGCAATTGCTGTATTATTT